CATTATTTATTTCTTTTCGAGAAAAATATTAGCATATAGAGATAAAAACTGCCATATGGAAAATACACCAAAATTTAGATTCTGCATCTTTATCTAGAATAAACAAAACAATAATAAAGGAAATTAAAAAAATAACCTGCAAGTTTATATTATTCAAAATGCCTGTCTTTGGCAACTATTGGTCTACCATGATACCTCTTTATAATCCTTTTTAATAATACCATAAACTTTCCTAGATGGCCACCTACTGGTTTTATTCAACAGAAAACAAGTTCAGAGATCTTAAAATGTTCTAGTATGACAATCTTTTCATCTCGGGTATCATCTTAGCAACTCTCTGCTGAACCCTTTCCAACAATTCAATGTCGTTCAAAGACCAAACACAATACTTCAAATGTGGCCTATCAATAACCTGTACAATGAAATTATATCCTTTTTAGACTTGTATTCAATATTTTTGTAGATACAACCTGAAATCATGTTTGCCCTACTACTAGAAACAATACATTGTTTGGATGATGGCTCAAGAAACTAATCAACCAGAACACCAATATCTTTTTTTTTTTTCTATAACACTGTTAAGGTTATTCCCATCAAAATTATACTGATTATTTCATACAGTAAAGACGTAAAATAGACAGGAAAGGGGCTGTGTTGATCGGATTGGTCATACAAAGTCTTGTTAAAAAATAATTCTTATATATTTTTCACATTTTAAAGTAATAGTAGTACTGATAAAGTTAGCTTTCTAGCGTCCCGTTTTGGTTTTTCACACCCAAATCTTTTATATTTTCCGCATTATAAGGTAATAGTAGTACTGGTAAAGACAGCTTTGTAGCTCCCCAATTTGATTGGACAAAAATGTTGATCCATTTATTTTAAAATAAGTCATTCTTAATTGTTCTTAAATTAACTGCCTTCACAACATTTGAAGGCAACACATTCCAAAGGCCAAACATTCTGCAAGAAAATTAAAGCTTGCTTAGCTGAAGATGACTCCAAAGCTGCCAAAATTTGTTTGTGTGCCATAGTTTTGCCATTCTCACCATTAAATATAAAAAAAATAGTTGATGCATTAAGACTATCAATTCCCTTAACAATCTTAAACACTTCAATCAGATTCTCTCTAACTCTTCTTCTTTTTGAAAAACCAAAATGGGACGCTAGAAAGCTAACTTTATCAGTACTACTATTACTTTATAATGTGAAAAATATATAAGAATTATTTTTGAAAAACCAAAATGGGACGCTTTAAAGCTGACTTTATGATGTGAAAAATAATAAAGAAAAAACTTTGTGTTATGGTTTGTTTCAGAATTTGTAGTACATAATCAAAACAACTCTCGTACTATTAGCACTGATGACGCTACAATAACGAAACCTCAGTTGAAATGAAAAGTTTATTATCATTATCTGTAGAGTAAAAGTTGTTGTTTTCCCGCCTTTATTGCCAAGCTTTATGTGTGAAAAACCACAATGGAACGCTCAAAAGCTGCCTTTACCAGTTCTTTTTTATCATAATATTGGTTGTCCTATGTCGAATGTATTACTTTTATTGTTGTTCATGTTTTATTTTAAAGATTGATTTGGATTATGATATTTTATTTTATATTTAGGACTAATCTAAACCTCCTAAGCCGGCCGAACCTCGTGAAATGGTATTGGGTAATTGTCCGAAACTCTCGTTTACTACGAGAGTTCTCAAGTGACGAAACAATAAATCATAATCTTTGTAAGTAATACGTAATAAAAGTATACTTAAATAGCTATAATTGATGGCCAAGTTGATTTCTAGTTTCGTTCTAAGAACACAGCTCTCTCTGAGAGGAAGTTATTGTTATACACACACACAGTCCTGAAGTTGGATCAAAATGAAATATGTTCGAACAGGTCTTAAGTTAATTCAAATCATTTTCAAGATTTTAGCTAAGGCCAATGGTAAATGCTAACTCCATAAAAATGATAATAATTAGCACACTGAAGTCACAGCTTAAACAAAGTATTTTGACTTTACCAATTGTAAAGATCAGTGTATTGTTTAAAATAACAATCATTATATTTGTTATTTAACATTCCAATTCATCAAATTAATAACTCCCTATATATTTATTGATGCTATTCTTATTGGTTTATGGTACATTATTTACTGTATATTATGTTCACTTGGATATTTTATAAACATTAATTTTTGAAAATATTTATTTGTTTATTTTTATTATTTTCGTCCAAAACTATTCGTGGGTTAACGGCGCTAGTAGTCCGTAATTGTGAAGGGATGGGCAGCTTGTCAGCATATTTGAGTTTGAGATTCGGATCCACAACATTCATATTGAGAGTCAAATACCCTAACCATGCTAAGGTTTTGGAACTTTATACGTTACCTAGTGGCCGTTGTTCAGATCTGTAATATTTCTCGTTTACACACAGCTTGAAAGCATGCTTATAAACAATCACCATCGCATTTATATAGCACCAGTTAGCTTTCTTCCCACCAGTGCTCTATATCTAACAATCACCATCGCATTTATATAGCACCAGTTAGCTTTCTTCCCACCAGTGTTCTATATCTAACAATCACCATCGCATTTATATAGCACCAGTTAGCTTTCTTCCCACCAGTGTTCTATATCTAACAATCACCATCGCATTTATATAGCACCAGTTAGCTTTCTTCCCACCAGTGTTCTATATCTAACAATCACCATCGCATTTATATAGCACCAGTTAGCTTTCTTCCCACCAGTGTTCTATATCTAACAATCACCATCGCATTTATATAGCACCAGTTAGCTTTCTTCCCACCAGTGTTCTAGATCTAACCAAAACATTTAATAACACGAATTAACGATAAATGGTTCTGATAAAGAAAGGCAAAAACAAACATTTGATGTACAAAATAAACTGGCACCAAGTGTCAATAAGAGAACGGCATTTTACAGCTTATTGATCTGCGCTACCCGTCCCTAATTTAGCAGTGAAGACTAGAGGGAAGGCATCAATCACCACCCACCGCCAAATCTTGGACTACTCTATTACCAACGAATAGTGGGATTGACAGTCACATTATAACGCCTCCACGGCAGAAAGGACGAACACGTTTGGTTGGACGGAGATTCGAACCCGCAACCCTCAGATTGCGAATCATGCGGCATAACCATCTGCAATTTTATTCACCCAAACTGTGCACTCCCATTGGGTGATATATTGTTTTTCGTGGTAGTTAGACACCGTTAAAAAAACACAATGAAAACAAATGTAAGCTGTTAGGAATTAGCGCCCTAACCATCTGGCCATGCCGGGCCCGTCTCTTTAATAAATAGTGTTTTAAAAAAAAATAGGATTTTTCAATTATAATGAAAAGCCTCATCGTTCATAACAGTCTGTTAAAAATGCAGGCCAGCGACATGTTTTAACTTGTTCAGTTTGTAATAACAATATATATCATATTGCAGCTGCTAACAATGATGATTTAGAAAAATATTTTGTTTTTTCGTTTTAAATGAGCACCAAGATACAATGAAATATCTTATTTTTCCTGTTCATGTCTTTATTATTTTTCCTAGATGCTTTTTTTTTTCTCTCCATAGTAGCTGGAAAAGTAATACCACTCTCCTATAGTTACGACGAACAGCAGAATCTCTGTGCACCAGGATATTAAACGAGGACGTCATTTCAGGGTTATAAACATTAGCATTATAACGTGGAGTAGCGCGTGACGTTTAATAATATCCGAGTTAAAACTGGCAAGTTTTGGATAACGGTTTCTTTAGCAAGCAATGGCACTCGCACATCAAAACTAGAATTTATTTAAGTGTAAATAACTGGCATAACAACAACAGTTTAATCTTAAAGTGTCCATTTCACAGATAACCAATAATACATCTTAAACAATGTAAACATTCGTTAGCCCGACGCTACACTATAAGCCCATAAATCTGTCCAATCACCGAGCAGATTGAAGAAACTCGACGATTAAAGTGTTACTGATTAGAACAAAAGACTGTGTTAATGAAACTTATTTTATGTAAAGAACCAACTATTTTGTTTAGGTTTCCACAAACACCTTTGTCTGTGTCCTATTAATTCTCATGAGACTTGGAAATTTCCTAAAAGGGCGAGTGTGTTTTCTTATAGCAAAGCCACATCGGGCTATCTGCGCTAGCCGTCCCTAATTTAGCAGTGTACGACTAGAGGGGGGGCAGCTAGTCATCACCACCCACCGCCAACTCTTGGGCTACTCTTTTACCAACGAATAGTGGGATTGACCGCGGGTTCGAATCCCCGACACACCAAACATGCTCGCCCCTTTTAGCCGTGGGGGCGTTATAATGTGACAAAATGCGCCGAACTTATTCGGAATGGTTTTAGATACTTCCATAGAAAATATGTGTAACCTCTTCATTCACTTGGCTACCACATCTAAAGCATATTGTCCTTTTACGACAGTCCCCTGGTGGGACAGCGGTAATTCTTCGGATTTCCAACGCTCAAATCAGGGGTTCGATTCCCTTCTTTAGCCCGGCATGACAAGGTGGTTAGGGCGCTCGACTCGCAATCTGAGGGTCTTTTGGATAGATGATATGCTCTAAACAAAGGCTGTATTGTTTAATTTTTCGGTTTAAACATAGAATGTTTTTAATTGCAAAATGTGATTTTTATTTTGTTTATTACAGAAACAGCATTTTCAGAAATAATCGAATATTTTCAGGTAGAATTCTAATTAAAAAATTACGAACACCAAACATTTAAGGTATGGTTGTATGAAACTTATGTTTTATGAGCTACTTAAAATTGATGTTTCTTTAAGCGATTTTGTTTGCAGTGTTTTCTTCTACAACATTAGAACAGTTTACAGCAAGTTAAAACTAAAACATGGAAGGTTAAAACGGAAAAAAAAATACCCAGGTTTTATTATTCTGATACTTTTGATCGTATTTAGTTACGTTGTATAATTATATATCTAAAATACACACTTGGAAGTAATTATTCTTCACCCTATATATAATATTATCTCTTCGACCACGTCGAGTATTACAGTTCGTTAACGCGACCCAAGAAAAGAATTAATCCAGTGCGGTAGTCTCGAATCAAGAATATGAAGGGATGGTTTGCGATGAACTGTTCATCATTCCTGCCTCCTATTCGTTCTGCTCCAACCACCACACTCACTGCAGCGGCCTCACTTCCTTCCTCATTGACTTCTATGTAGGACTTGTGGATGACCTTTGTCAGGTAAAGACCACGTTGCCTAGTTATCCCGGCAAGATTGGCTCTGCTAGGATCAAAAACGTCCGACATTCCCATTTGCTGCAGAGTTCTCTTCAGATCGTCTTCATACTTTGCCTCCAGCTTGAATCGGGGCATCGCAACCTCAACTCTCCTATCTTGAAGTCTGTTGTAAATATTCTGTAAATACGGGATGGAAAGTGCATCCTCCAGATGTAGTAGTCCGTTCCTATTATCTGGCAGCAGAATCAACATGGAAATGTGACTACCCCTGTAGGGCATCTCTAGAGCATATACTCCAAGTTTGGAATCGTAGAAAAAGGGAAATTTTGATTTCGAGTGCATCATACGGACTGTGACTGGGGTTCGTCCATTATTGTAAAAAGTTTCAGACTGGGTCAACTTTTGGTCAAACATAGTTTGCCACGTGCCTTTAAAGTATACTGCATTTAACAAAGCCAGGAGACTGTCCTTTGGAAGTGGTTTATCCAACAGTTTCGAAATCTTGTTTTTTGTTTGTCGTGATGCCCAACTGTTGACTTCATATTGGACTTTTACTTCTTCGGTTGCAAAGTCCACTTCTTGCAGAACTGCACCCAAGTATTCTGTGAGTGCCTGTTGGTAAACAGCCAAAAGACCCAAGCCTCGCTGAACTAAAACTGCATTGGCGGCCTCCAGATCATAACTATTCTTCTGACTATTCAGCAGATCGTTGGTTTGCTGCAACCCACTTAGGACACCCGAAGCGTCTAACCCAACACGAGAATAGCCAAGCGCATAGCTCATCTGTTGAGCAGTAGAATTCCGGGCGCCTAAATAGGCCATGGTCAGTACAGTGGACAAACTAAATGGAGAGATAAAGAGGTTGCCTGAATCAGGTAAAGCGTGATAGAGAGTTAGGCCGAAGTTGTTACTCGCATTGGTGACTTTGATGGCTCCAGATAGGCTATCTAAGTGAATGCCGGTGTCACCAAGCTTTTCTAGGAGCTCCTTTTTTTGAGTATCAAAATGATGAAACTCGAACAATAAGCTGAAAGGGCATGTGACAAGGAGAATCAATAGGCCTAGTATCATCATTTCTCTTCAAAACACCTAAAATAGGACATAAAAACTATTTTAGTGATTTTAAGAGGTAAAACATAAAACTCACTTAAACCTAAGTATTGCAATCAAATATTCGGGACGTAATTCAAACGCCTTACTTGAGCCTACTTTATTGCTTATAAAATACCCACAATATAACCCAATATATAACTTAACAAAATACTGCTTAAAGAATTGTGATTTGAGTAAAATAGTTCTTTAAAAATGTCAAATAAGTAAATCTTCCCCTACCTTGTGTGACCTCCCCCCCCCCGTGATTCAGTCGTAAGTCTGAAGACTAAAAAGCGGGTTTCGATACCCGTGGTGGACACAGCACAGATAACCCATTGTGCTCAACTACAAACAAGTCTTCTTGTATTTACTCAACCTTTGGAATATATAAATATTTTGAAATTTTAGAGTACAAATAGGTATCCTTATGGATACAGCCAATAGAATCCAAGCAAGTTAGTGATTCGTTTCATTGCAGATGTTAACTGAATATAGCAGGTAATGCAAAATAGTTTACTGCAATGGAGGTTTGGTTAAGCGCTTGGGGCTGTAATGGAGGTTATAACAAACCTAATTCATAAGTTTAGTTACTGTGACAACTGTTCTAACTCAACTGTAATAAAAATATTTGTGCGTTATTGTTAATATGGACAAGATGGTTGTCGCTACGTGTCTTTCTTATAACGGATTTAAACTTTATCGTGAAAACTGCTAGAACTGGACTTTTGAAAATGTTTGTTTTTGTTCAATGAACTGTCTGCGCTGTGTAAGCCTCGAGGACCGAACTCTGAATTTTAACATAAGTTCTAAAGCCTACCGCTGAGCCACCGATGTAAATTTAAACCATTTATCATAAATTTCCGAGTGTCTAATGCCACCATACATTTAATAATACACAGTAGCATAAACAGTGGCAAGTCCTTAGTTTTCTTAATCTTAGCTTCCGCTACAGTATTCCCCATCTAATAAATTATTCCCACGAGCCTTTTGACTTCCACTTTAATAAAACCGAACGTTCCAGAATTATCTTTCTACGCAAATTTCCTTGTTGATTTGCGATATGCAACAAATTTTAACTTCTTGCTATTGACTTTTGTAGAAAGTTGATAACACACTGCAAGTTGCCGAGGAAACGACTCGTTGAGCGCGTTCTCCATGTACGAATCTCGAGAGATTCGCCTGTAGCAACAAACACTCTTCAGAGTCCAGCTTCACACTCGCACGATCAATAACATAGTAGCATTAGAATGAAGGCTTAGCTCGGTCATCAGTTTTCCAGTACGCTACCGAAACATCTTTACGTTTCAAATATAAAAATATATTTTCAAATCCACGAGATGAAAACTCGGAAGGAACTTTAAAAGTTAGTAGAATAGGGTTAGGAACGAATAAAATCTAGGTAACTGAAACTCACGAAATATTATTCTATTACACGAATAAGCAAGCTATTGAATATATTTATATATTTATTTATTGCATCTAGTGTTGAAAGTTCTATAATCCCGTTCAAGATATAAAATTCTTGCTATCATAAGCCTAATAGCAGACACGTTACGAAATAAACGTGTAACCTCAACTTTTCTCTCAATAAAGCAATCGCGTACCAAGACCCTAATGGTAGCCATATTGTGCAATAAATGTATTCTCTCAGTAAAGGTGCGTGAAAATCCAAAAACGATCCGCGTATTTCTGTACCGATTTGACTGAACAATCCTGTTGCTCCTGACTGGTACCTAGATTAGGTCCTTTGGTGAAAACAGAAAAAAAGTAAAGCCATTTATTTACTGCTTTGAAAAAAATACTGTACCGGTTTCAACCAACTTAACCCTTGCGCAGACTAATAAAATCGCTAGGGGCGCTATAAAGGTTCATTGTGTGCACTGATAATGCAGAACTCGCCTCTTGCTTATTACAAATTATCAAAACTATGATAGAGCGACTGTATGGTTCTTTGATTGTTTGTTTTTTTAAGTTAAGCACTAAGCTACACAATGGGCTATCTGTGCACTGTCCACCACGGGTATCGAAACCTGATTTCTAGCGTTAAGTCCGCAGACATACCGCTGTGCAACTGGGAGGGGGTTGTTGTTTAATATATAAACTTGAAAATCTAAGTATACGTTGAGCAAGTCTTTATTTTCAAGTTAAGAAAAGTATTTTAGCACCTAAATATTTCAATGGTCACAACAAAAAATGAATACTGAGCGAATAATGGTTGGAGACTGCTTGAATGGGTAACGAAGAAAAACTTTAATATAAATGCGCTGATGATGACAAAACCTTGTCGAAACGTTGTACATTTGCTGTTATGTTAAACTTGTATTAAAGTTTTTCTTCATTACGCATTCAAGCCGTCTCCAACCATTATTAGTCTCAAAGTGGATTCCTCGTCATCGAATTTTAATACTGGGCGAGTTGTTGTCGCCCTCTAGTTTATTTTCTTCTCACCTATTTCCACACGATTTTTACTTGTAAAATTACATATCGCAAAATTATAATAAAGAAAAGCAGAAAACGAAAACACAGAACCAAAGATGTGCACCAATTTAAGTAACTTGATTTACGACTTTATTTACAAGTTCGGGAGGGCCTTTAATGAATTTAATTATCTTCTGCTATTAAAGTTGTAATGAAGTAAGTGGAACATATCAGTCAAGTTCAAAATTTTGAATTTTCCGAAAATTTCATTTTCTTTTCTGACAGTATTAAACACCTTTTAAATGTATCACGATTTTTTTTTTATTATTATTATTTTTTTTTTTTTATTGTTGCCCACATATAAAATCAACAACTAAACAACAAGCTTTGACAAACGACCTTAAACACGTAGTATTATATTCTTACATGAGCTGGTGGTTAGAATGCTTGACTCGCAATCTGCGTATCAAGGTCCGAATTCCATCACCGAACATGCTCCTCCCTTTCAGCCATACATGGAAGAGTTGGCAGTGGATGGTATTGACTAGCTGCCTTTCCTCTAGTCTATCACTTCTAAATTAGGGACATTTAGCGCAGATAACCTCGAGTAGCTTTGCTTGAAATTCAAACAAACATATGCTCATGTTGCGAGTTATTAACCATCTGACCAGGTGGTTAGAGCACTTGACTCGCAATCTGAGGGTTGCGGGTTCGAATCCTCATCCCACTATTCTTTGGTAAAAGAGTAACCCAAGAGTTGGCGGTGGGTAGTAATGACTAGCTGCCTTCCCTCTACTCTTTCACTTCTAAATTAGGGACGGTTAGCGCAGATAGCCCTCGTGTAGCTTTGCGCGAAATTCACAACAAACAAACAAAGATTTAACCATTTACTGTACGTATTACGAAAATACGGTATAAAATTGTTTTCTTTGAATTTCTTACACAGATAGGTATATGTTTCACAGAAAATGTGTTATGGTAAGTTATAAATGGGTGCGTTACCTATAAGTAACATTGTCCTATTAAGAAACCAATAAAAATAATTCCATGGTTGATTTAAAAGAAGTAAGAAGCATTCAACTAGAGAATTGAAGCATTTGTTTGTATATTAAGAAACACAGATAAATTTGTTATCTGTACATTAAAATGTGCAATAGAGTTAAGTAATGAATTACAAAGATATTTAAAAATAGCATAAATTGGAAAGGCACTTTAGGAAACTGATTTTTGAAAAGATAGACATGAGATTAACAGTTTGATAAAGAAACATAACCATCAAATAAATAGTTATTTTTATTGTTTGTTTGTTGTTAAGCGCTGTCATGATATAAAAGACTGTTTAGTTTAGATATTATTGATTAATTTATTTTTTGTGAGTGAATATTTTATTATTGTTTAGTTAATGTTATAATAAGAGTTAAAGACAGACGATTATAAGGAAGCATGTTTAAAAGTCATTGATGTTGAGACTATAGAACGTCGCGTGCAATACGTTGACGTCGAGAATATAGAATGAGGGCAGAAGATTAAGTGATACTCATAAATAGTGTG